GAGATAGTAATGATGGAGGATGGGCACAGTGGGGACGTGAGGAGTGCAACAGGAGGCTGATATAGTTATCTGGTAAAGATTAGAGCGGTGTTTACTGGAGTTAATGGCCTGTGTCATCACTACGCAACTACTGTGCAATGTTGGCCAGTGGCTGTGCCGTCTGGGTCGCATTTATCGCCCCATTTTGCACAAAGCCTCCAGCAAAGAGAGCCCAGCCTTACAATAGACCTATAATCAACGTGATGAATACTGCAGGACATCTAGGATCGCAACTGTTTGAGTCACATTCGGACTATTCAGAGGTCTCATCAGTCTGACAAGTACAAAGATGTTCAGTTTTCTGTTATAAAAGGCAAAGGGACTTTTACAACTTCGGTTCAAAACCTGTGAATCAAGAATCCAATAAAGCTGATTTTCTAATAAATGACTAACACAGTGTAGTGTCTCTGTGTAGCTGTCTGCTTTAAAAACAAACCAGACGCAAACGTATAAAACCCAAACGTCCTCTAATGTTAACTGTTATCATTAATCAACTATTCATTCCATGTTATCAGACATTGTTTCAGCTGTATATCATGTCTGTGATATAATAACTGAGATTCAGGAGACAAACATGTTTGATAAATCCTGTAAAAGCACAGATTGAGTTTGTGAGTACATTTAGATCCGATTTAGGTAAAAATGGTATCTGCTGTATTGTAAGGCCGTCTGGTTCTCCGCTACAAGCAGCTACCATAATAGTCTAAGAGGCTGATAAGTTGTTTAAAGACAAGGACAAAGTACAGACTCCTTCTTTTTTATCTCTTTTATGACTCAATATTTTTTTTTTAACTATGTATAATACTGAGTTTGTTGGTTTTCTATTCTTAAACAAAAAGAGAACAAAACAAACCCCTAACATTTATCACATGTGTTATATCGATTATTCAGAGGACCAGGTACACATTGCTTCTGTTTAACCATTAGCTACACTTGCAGCATTGCTAATAAGATTTCCAGTCGATTCACCCAGGGGATGAATCTAAGTGACTTTGTTCCCTGACCTTCCTACAGGCACCAGCAGTAAATTATTTTTTAGCATCAATGTAAAATGCAGTCATGCAAAAAAAAAAGTTTTCACAGGACTCTATGCAGCCCCGGGAAACTGCAAGAGTAAAGTGCACCCTTAGTGCAGAGGGTAAGTAGCAGCCAAGTGCTGCTAATCAACTGATCATCAGCATGCGTGAGCAGCTCTATAAAAGCTGGTATTTTGGCAGGTTGAAGCATTCAGGTTTGTGGAAACACAATAAAACAATCCAGGAGCGGATGTCCCAACAAATTCCTCTCAAGGTCAGACCATGCGATGGTCAGAAGCTACTTTTGGCTGCTCCCTTCCCACAAAGGGTCACCACAGTGGATAACTCTGAATTTTACACTGGATACTCATCAATGGTGACCTTTTGCTTGCTAGGCAAATGTTCAAACTATGGAGCCAGTGCAAGAAACCCAAAAACCTACGTGTCAGACGCTCAGTTAGCATGTTTAATGTTAGCGTTAATGACCGTACAAATAGATAAAGACTGAACAAACATGGCTTGTTTGGAAAGGTTTCCAGGAAAAGGTCTCGTCTCAGCACGACTTAGAGTTACAAAGCTACATCTGAAGAAAACATATCAGCAAAAACACATCATACCAGCTGTCAAGCACGGTGGTGGAGGGTGATGATTTTGGGCTCGTTTTGCAGGTATGGTCGACCATGAACTCCTCCATATACCAAATTATTCTAGAGCCATACGTAAAGCCATCTGTCCAACAGCTAAAGCTAAAAACTGGGTCACGCAGCAGGACAGTGGCCCCAAGCACAACAGAATGCCTTAAAAATGAAAAGTACTGCAATGACCCAGTCAAAGTTTATTGCTCCTAAAACTGGTTCCAAGAGTTGTTGGGGTGCACAGTCCTGTGAAAACTTTGCCTTTCACATGACTCCGTTTCTCCACTTACTAGTTGGGCAAAAAGTTTGTGGGACAATGAAAGACTTTAAATTTGGCTATATGTAACGTAATAAATAGACACCAATGACATTTACTTTTTTATAATTCAACATTCCCAACTTCTCACAAGCATACAGTACCAGCCAAAGGTTTTGCCAGTCACCTATTCTGACTCACTGCAAATGGAAGTTAAGCTTTCTTATTATTGTCTTATGTCTTTGTATTTCTCTTTAAGCCATTAGCTGTTATTTCAGCTGCTGCTCTGTCTGATAATCATTTTTGGGTCTCAGCAGGGATGCATCCACAGCTCAGCACAGCTCTCTTTCAGCCACAGGTTTCTTATGAGACATGTTTACTTTTTAAAATAACAACCGGCAGAGATGTGTGACAAGAAGTAGGTGCAGCTCCGTAGAGCTGTCAGTGCGGCTGTCATTTTTCAAGGCTGTTAGCACAGCAAAGGATATTTCCTTCACCTCCATTGTATTAGAAAGGCCACAGATCTCAGATTTATATCTCAGCAATAAAAAAAGAAGAAGCAAAAATAACTAACTGGCAAAAAATGTGTGTTTAATGGTGTTTCTATGCAGTCTAATGGGATAAACGTTCCCATTAGAATCATTCTCTGTTGGGGTCACAGCAGCTCAGGTGGTAGAGCGGGTGGTCTATCATTCAGGAGGTCGGTAAATTGAATCCCAGCTTCTCCAGCCTGTCATACTGAACCCTAAGGTGTCACCGGTGCATCCATCTGTGTGTGAATGTCCCTGCATGAGTGAGACTTGTGGTAAAAAGTGTCTTGTGTGCTCCAATAATGCTCTACATAAGTACCAGCTAATTTACTATTTGATGCTCAAATTACCTGCCTATGTTTGCGCTCTCGCTTCTAGTCAGATCTGCGCTTCAATTAAATGTACTTTCGAACCAGCTCCAGCAGAGAGCTTTTACAAATTTGCCCCAGCTTCCCTCTCTGCGGCCCACTAAGCGATGTCGGGAGGACCTGAACACGGTCACTCTACCTGTCTCACAGTGTGCTTTGTTGAAGCGGTTGCTTTTGTCCAGTCAACTCAGATTATTCTCTCGGGGCTCACACCTCCCACTCTCCCTCTGTGTCACTGTTGTGACTGATGTCTTTTCCATCCTGCTGCCCTCTCTCAATTAAAAAGGAAAAAACCTCCAATTCCTTTGACCTTTACCTTGACTTGGCTGTTTCCACTAAACACACATGAAAACACACAGCCCTGACACGGCTGCTCTCTCTCCTATTTTAGTCAAATCTCCCTCTGTGTCCTCCCTTTCTTCCAGTCTTTTAAAGGTATGCCCGGATTTCTGCTCAGATAGCACCGCGCACACTTATATAAGCAGGAGGTTTGCACGTTTGATGGCTTATAGGGAACAAATTGCATTGGTAGCTGAGTAATGCCACAGCAGTATAATCTCTTCAGTTCAGTTCCTCCTTCCCCAAGGGACCGCTACCCTAACCTTTACAACAGGTAGCTCCACCCAAGTGACTGACCCTTGAAGTCTAAACCTGGATAATCTCCATAAGAAACTATATAAAGAACATTTTAAGCATCCTGTAGAAGAAAAAGTAAGATTTGAAGAGTCTTGGGTTTCATCTATACTTCTAAACTCATGGATGGGACACTGAATTTTAGCTTATGGCCTTTATCAGTATACCAGTTAATTTTAAAACTCATTTAGCTTTTCTAGACTCAACCCTGCTCTCATTACATTAAACTAGGCGAGGGCTTTTATTGTGGAAAGGTGTATAATTTATGTTTCTTTATGGGGTTTCCCCACTTTTCCAGGACTGTGTGCCAGTGGAGGCTCTTAACAGGTTGGTTCTTTTCCACTGTTTCCATTATTAGGCACTCTCATTCCTACTGCTTTTGTTGGACTTTCAGTTTTTCTCTGTTGTTTGCAGATGGCTTATGAGTCACTTATAGCAGGAAGTGGGCTGTGACCTCGTTATCCATCATTGTTCCAAGACTTTTAAATAGATGTGTGAGTCATCGAATGCAAATTGTTAATTATAGCATGTATTATTATTATCATTGTATTATTAATGAATGTGATATAGAGTAAAACCTTTTTGGGTAGAAAACTCAGAGAAAAGATGGAAATGTAGCTCTAGTGAAATTCATTCATCATTCATCCAGTGAGCAGCAGTTTGAGGCAAAATGCTTTTTTGACGTCAGAGAATGGCCAGACCCCTTTGAGCTGATAGTAAGGAAATATGACACATCATTTCATAAAGCTCATATCTCAAACTGGTGTCTTGAACATGACATTGAGTTCAATGTATGCAAATGGACTCCACAGTCAACAGATCGCAATCCAGTACAGCACCTTTGGGATGCAGTGGAACAGGAGATACACATCATGGATGTGCAGCCAACAAACCTGCATCACATGTGATATGATCACGTCAACATGGACCAAAATCTCACATTTTGAATCTGTCATGAGGAATTAAAGCAGTTCTCAAAAGCAAAAGTGGGGGTGGTGCAGCTACACACGTGTACCTTATCAAGTTTATTACTGTAAGTTTGTATTAAAAATGCTTAAAAAGAGCCAAAAACTGTAACACAAGTATAAAATTAAAAGGTTTCACTTTTTTATGTGACATATTTTAAGTGTGTTAATTTCTTGGTTACTAGTGATTATACTGCAAACGGTTGTGTGTCCATGAGGATACAACCTACTATAACTCACACATTTTTGTGTAAACAGTAAGAAGTGTTGAATAGCACTGCCAGAGACGGGACTGAGTGTAACTTTTCACATTTCCTTTGTGTTATGTTTCCTCTCAAAAGGCTGACAAAAGGTTGGAGCAGAAACCACAAAGGGTTCTCCTATGGGAGCAGGTGGTAGGACTCTGTGCTTATAGTTGGCACCATTATTTCTAAGAGTGTGGCGATCCTTAAATAGCCTTAAATCTCTCTCTCTCCAGTCTCTTTTTTGCAGGACTTTGCAGGACAGTTTAATCAGCAAATTCCATTAAAGGACAAAATCAGCAATGAGTGCAGAACATAAACATCAGTGTTTTATACTTTTATTCCAACTTTAACCAGCCGCTTCTTCAGACAAAGCCAAAGTGTAACAGGCTGAACATGTAAAACAAACATTTCATCAGTGAGTCATTATTTCCAGGACATCATCAAAACTCATCGAGGTTGCTTCTGGTGTCCCGTAGCTTTGTGAGGGACATCAGCACCTCCTCTGTCGGCCTCCTGCCCAGCTGTTTACCCCCTCTGCTCCTCACGTTCACTGTTCCACTCTCACGCTCCTTATCACCCACCACTGCACAGAAACACACACAAAAGACTGTCAAATATGTCAACAGTACTGAAAAACAGTCGCAGTCTTTAGTATTTTAAGTAGCCTCTTAGTTATTCATCTTTACCAAATATGTAGTTATACTGGGCGAGCTGAGCAGAGCGGATCTTCTTATTTAAGGTGGCTCCCTCATCGTCATTCAGATCTGCCATAAAGCCAGCTTCATGGAACTGCTGGACCACCTTAACAGGAGAGAGACAGGGATTCATTCTTTTAAGACTGTATCTGTAATCTACCTCTTATATTAAAGAACAAATTAATCATGGCAGGATGAAAGTTCACTTTGTCTGCTTATGCACCCGAAGCAAATTTCCATCAGACACTGACCTGCCTGCCGTACGACTCATTGTTGCCCCCCACAGGAATAACTGCGACCTGAGCTGGAGACAGCCACAGAGGCCTGGGTGAAGCACAGAGGGGGGTGACAGGTTAGCGTACAGCTACAGGACAATAATCCCACTAACGGGGTATATTCAGATTTTGTGCATTATCATCTTCTCACCATTTCCCTCCAAAGTTTTCAGCCAGTATGGCCATCATCCTCTCCAGCGATCCCAGCACTGCTCTGTGGATCATTACTGGTCTGTGCCACTGTCCGTCTCGTCTAAGAGAAAGGTTACAAAAAAAAAGAGATCAGGAGGTGGTGCAGCGTGGCAAAGCTACAGACACAAATACTCTTCTTGACGGTATTGTGAACATTACATTATACTGAAGTGAAGTAGCTGAGTGGAAGTAAATATGCAGATCTCTGTTGCTTATTTCTAACCTACTTTTCCTATAAACTGTTCTACAATGGGACACTAATCTATTGTTGAACATATAATCTAATCAGATTATAATCAAAAACACTTCAGTAGATGTGGATCAAAAGAAGTAAGGCAGACTAGTTGAAGGCAAACAGAAAATTCGACACACTTGAGCTGATAAATCCAATAAAGGGCTAATGTTTCATCATCAAATTAGCTCCCAAAGTTAGACTTGTGCCATCTTATCCTGAGTAATTACTGGATATATATATACACAAGGATGCATTCTGAACAAAAAGAAGTGGCCAACTGTAAAGGAGTAGTGGTTTAAATCAGTGCAGATGCAGGAATGTTAAAGAGATTGAATGCCAACTACTGAAATTTATGAGTGCCTCACCCGACGTACTGAAGGTCAAATCTGATTGGCAGCTGGAAGTCCAGCTGGATCGTGGCACACTGGTGCTGTCTGCCAATAGCATCTTTGATCAGGATGTCAATCTGATGAAATATGAAGGCGTGTGTTATTACCGGGCTTCACTTTTCCCTTCCAGTTTAGTGCTCTGAGACAAAGTACCTTTTTGTGCACTGAATCATTAGAAATGGGTTTCTGAGAGAAGCTGATTAGCTGCTTAGATTGTGGTTTAAAAATCCTGGATACACGTTTCTTTGTTTGAACGAGCGGTTAAGCTCAACCTGACTTCACCCATCGCCTCCTCTCAATGCTTCCACATGAGAAGTCGGCCCACGTTTATCTGAGGCCGACTTCTTCTTGGAAAGATAAATTAAGTCCCCCAACCCCCCCAAAAAAGCAAAGGTCATTGCCGCACTGTCGTTTCAATTTTATTTAAAAATAAACAAAAACAAACAAACAAACACACACACACACACACAAAACCTCTAAATATTCTGTGACCTACAATAATTTGTGTCTGTACTTTCTCTGTGCAGAGCCGAAGCTGAACAAAGATGTCTTAATCTGCGTTGCAACATAAATAAATCCCCTTTAGAGGAATTAAAATCATTAAATCTAATTTTATTATTGTCAAAACTTGAGAAATGCACTTGTTTGTTGTTCTCCCAAGATTTCAGAGATAATGAAGAGAAAATGTAAGCTTGGCTCTGTATCAAATGGAAAAACGATCTATCTGCCAGCACCTCTAAGCTGATGAACACATTGTTACAGGCTTGTGAGAAACAAAGGTTTCACTGGACTACTGTGGAAAAAACTGAGTGCAGCCCAGTATTCAGTAGCTTGTAGAGCAACAACTGTAGAGTCCTAGCCCACTCTCCTTTACACTGAGTTTCAATCAGGTTGAGGTCTGGACTTTAACTGGGGTATTGTAGATTTGCTGCTGTGCATTAAGTTGTTGTCCCGCTGGTCATCTCAACAAGGGGCCCAGGCCCTGGGGCCCCAGAACAAGCCCAAATCATCACCCCTCCACCACCGAGCTTGACAGCTGCTATGAGGTGTTTGTGCTGATATGCTGCGTTCGGTATTTTGCAAATGTGCTGCCGAGCATTATGACCAAACATCTCCACTTTGGATTCTTCTGTCTAAAGGACATTGTTACAGAGGACTCTGGTTTATTCAGAACTTTGCAAACCTAAGCATTGTTTTTTTTGTTCTTTTTAGATAGAAGAGGCTTTCTAAACAAGTCATAACTGTTCAGTCTTTTTATAACTGTACTGTCACAACTTTTAACATTTAATATGCTAACTCAGGACCATAGAGTCTGAGATGTAGACCTTGGGTTTTTCTGAACGTTGCATGGACTGACCCTGGGGTGAATTTCCTGGGACGTTCACTCCTATTGTGGCCAGACCAGCCAACTGTCAGAACTTCTGCTTTAAAAGAAGTGGCAACACTTTCTGATGATCAGTCAGTCAAGTGCATTTGATTAGCAACAACCCAGCTGTTAGACTTAGTTTTTAGTTGGACTGCATTAGAGTCATGTTTTTTTTTCAGTTTGAGGATACAAGTCAGGCAGTTAAGACTTGGAAGTTGCTATACCTGATAAAGAATTTTCCCACATGGAGACCACCATAATGTACCATTTCTTGGCTTGCTTTAGAGGTGCTGGTAGCTGTCCCAAAAGTAGCTGCTTCCACCATTTCTGAGTCAATATGCTAAGCTAATCAGCTCTCCTGGTAAATCAAATAATCCTATCTTTAATAGTGCTTCAACATAAAAAAAACCCAAAAAAAAACAAAAACAAAAACAAAAACCCCAAAACAAAACACACATTCCCTTAAAGTTTTTTACATTAAGGAGGAACAGAGTGACTAAACTGATGTCACGATGCTTTGGTGTAAACAAACAGTGATAAACATTTACTCCATTAAGTGCAAGTCTTCCTTCTCACCGACCTTTGGTCCGTAGAACGCTCCGTCTCCTGGGTTTAATTCCCAGCGTTCACCAAACTGCTGCAGACTCCTCTCTAACTGCTTCACTCACAAACACACACACACACACACACACACACACACACACACACACACACACACACACACCAAAGACCACAGTAAGCAAGTAGTTGCATGACAGAATATAAGTACATTAAAGCACATTATGATCGCCATGTCTGTGTTTGAACTGTGCAGGCTCAGAACTGTTATGTTAAATTACACTCAATTGAATCAGCTTAGATTGCTGCTGTGCCCATTTAAAAGGTGCTCGGGGGATTTGGAGATATACATCTACCCAACAGCCTGACGCAAAGCAGCTCTCGACTGGAAAGTACCACTTACATAACTGATAGGTTAAGTGGAAATGCCTCCCCCCTGGCTGCCACTCAAGAGTACACATATATACACACACACGTTGACCAGCTGTGTCTGTGTAGGACTGCTTTTAGCACACAAAATGATGGAGAGTGTGTCAACGTGTCTGTTTACCTGCTCAGCAGTGTCCCACTGTTCAGGCTCCCCCAGGCACGGCGTGGGTCGCGTAGACAGCAGGCAGTGAAAGGAAAACCCAAACACTTGATAGACGCTCCTCACAAAGTCCAAACAAGTCACAATCTCTTCTTCCAGCTGGGAAAAAAGAAAGAAAAGTCAAGAAGAGGTCAACATGAGGACATAATAATAACAGAAAAGTGTACACAGCTGAGAGACCAACAAGAACTGAGAGCCTAAAAATCAAACCAAGATCGAATTTCTCAGGCTGACATAGTGGTGATCATCATGTGACCACCGTCTCTGAATTAACAAGGTGCAAACAGAAAGGCTGAAGGAACAGTATCATGGGAAGGCTGCAGGACTCCATGTAGGGGATCAGATTTACTGCAGAGCCACAAAGGCTTACATACGGAGGTGCAAAGTCTGAAAAGGACAAAGACCTTCATTCATCCAGGCTAAAGCTTCCTGGAATGTCTCAGGAGTCATTTACACAGCCCATCTAATCACTGAAATGCGGTTCCACGTGGGTCTCGTTTACAGCGTCTGTCCCACTTAAACATGCCTTGGTTTAGAAACGAGAGATCATCTGCCTGTTTGCGTACCTGTTCAGGTGTGCAAAATATGTGTGCGTCATCCTGGCAGAACCGGCGAACGCGAGTGAGACCTCCCAGAGCGCCGGAGAGCTCGTTACGATGCAGCGCCCCGAAGTCGGCCCATCGCAGAGGGAGCTCTCTCCACGAGCGAACGCGCTGCTCAAACATCAGGCTGAACACAACAAAGGAGAGTCAGTCTCTGCAAAGACACCCGAGCACAGGTAGGTAAGGTGTGTGTGTGTGTGTTCACCAGTGTGCAGGACAGTTCATGGGTTTGAGAGCGTAGGTCTGAGAGTCCTCTGATTTCACAGTGAACATGTTCTTGCTGTAGTGCTCCCAGTGGCCAGAGCGCTCCCATAATGCAGTGCTGTACAGCGTTGGGGTCACGACCTCAGTGAAGCCTCGCCTTCGGTATTCGCACTATGAGAGGTCAGGAAGGAAGGACTTGTGTGACAATGAATGGAGGACAGGGTCAAATGGTCACAGGGTCGAACAGCATAGAGACTTTAGGCTAAAAAGGATGACATCCTGACCACTGACATGAACACATATGACCTCAGCATTACAATCAGCAGCATGTTGATGCGTGTTATTACGTTTAAATGGACAACATTCAATAAATACACACACACTCAATGAACAATTTCCTGCATAAGCGGCATTTTATCATTATATAAAACCAACTAAGGTCACAGTTGGATTTTGAATAATCAAATTAAAGCATGTGGGGCATTTTTTGGTTTTAGTTGCATAAGCGGTGTTGAAAAGGGCCAAAGCTCACTTAACAGGTTTTTTCTGCAAGCAGATAGTGGATTTGAACCGTTATACAGTTATTTCTTGATTTTTGATTAAACAACTTTTGATGTACCACAAACAGGCAAACTAACTAGAGAAAAAATATTTCCTGTGTAATGCTGTGTTCATTCTTTAAAGCCAAAACTAGGCAGTGAGAGGCCAAGGCCAAATATGAGGTTTGATGACATGTTTATCCACGACCCTTTGTTTCCACTCACATAGTCCCTGCGCTATATTCATGCAGTTACTTATCTGTAATGCTTTCTACAGGTGTAACAAGGTTGTGATGGTGCAGTTCTAGGCGATTCAAATATAAGCTCAAACAAATAATACACCTTAATGAAGTCTGTGAGTGTGTTGTAGATGTGGGCTCCTTTAGGCAGAAAGAAACAACTTCCTGGACTGACTTCATTGAAGAAGAACAGCTCCTGGTCCTGTGTAAGAACATGAAAAGGTTCTTATTTCACTTTTTAAGATAGCATCATCTTCTGTACCCATGTATGGTTTCTGTCTTACCGTCCCGATGCGTCTGTGGTCCCGCCTCCTCGCTTCCTCCTGCTCCCTCTCCCACTCCTCCTTCTCTTTCTCACCTGGAAAGGCCACACCTAACAGTCGTGTCAAACCGGAGGACTCTGTCTGGTTGGCCAGGGTCACAGAGGACAGCTGGAATGCAGAGATGAAAAGTGGGGAGAAAATAATAGGTGAACATGGACGTGGCAAAAGAGAAAGTTATGAGAGGGACGGATGGCCGTGTGTTTCTAAGAGCCCAGAACAGAAATCTGGCCTCTGACAAACACAACATCCTGCTTGCTGATATTTCCAGGCCCTTTCTGTTGTGGAATCCCAGTCTGCCCAGTGACAGCTTGGTATGGAAACTTTTCTCTCTCCCTGGATCAATATGGATGAGGAAAATTCCACTCACACAGCATGTGTCCCATCTGACAGAGAGCCACGAAGGTCCAAATAAAACAGATTTTAACTGATGAGATGGCACTGCCTCTTTCATTGCAGTCATATAGTGTTTGAGTGTGAAAAATCATGATAGCACTGCCATATGAAATACAGTTTTCATAGGAATAGCCCAAATTCTTGAGTTAAGAAAAACAAAACAATAAAATACATAAACTGGCAGTGAAACACAAAAAGAGAAAACAGAAAGACGAGCAAAGGACTGAATGGATACACAAACACAACCACATACCTGCAGCATCTTGAAGACTGTGAGGAGGCCTGTGTGTGGGAGGAGGGGGCCGTTGCAGACCGCTATAGTGTCTCCACACCTGAGCCACACAGAATGGTTGAAACCAGTTAATTTACTGGTGAGTGTTTTAAATCACTGGCAGGTAAGAAGTTTTCCTACGTGCCTGTATACTGTGACAGTGGCGCCATTCATCTGCTCTTCAGCAAACTGCAGCCTCAGCTTACTGCTCTGTAAGAAGAAAACACAGAAAACTGATTTCAACATGGACACGAGGACAGACAAATATCACAGCTGGACTAAAAACAAGAGTCACACTTAAAAAGCGAGTAACATAACTGCTATTCACATCCTATCAAAGGTTACTCAGATATGCTTCAAGCCAGCATGGCACAATGCTGCTACACCACCAGTGTTTTTTTTTAAAGTGGAAATAAATATAAAATCAAATAACAAAACTTTCCTGCTTCCTGGCGTAGTATAAGCTGGTGCATTGAAAGTGTGAGGAAGGAGCTTGAACAGCTATGCCACAGTGATTTGGTAATTAAGACTTACCTCCTCTACATAAAGAATTAAAGAAAGATGTGTCAGCACTGAAACTGTCTGTCATCAATATTATATTATAACAAACAGAGCATGTTGCAGACCTGGAATAGCTCTTGGACCTCTTCTATACTCAGCTCCAGTCTAGAGAGAGGAAGTTTGAGTGCTGCCGCCTCCTTACACCTCGCCTCCACATCACTCAGAGACAAAAAACTGTAGATGAAGTCACATTCAGGCAAAACTTCAGTTGCAGTTTAGTCAGAATCAGGAGCATGCCATACAGGTCAAGCAGCCGGCACGAGTTACATAAGATGGAAAATGTGTCATTAAAGCAGCACATAACAACGAACAGCTATACACAGCATGCATATAAATAAAAATTAGGAACTAATTAAACTCGTGAATAAAAAATATATTCTTTATTTAAAAGGTCAGGATTTTTTTTTCTTTAAAACAAAAAGAAGCTGAAAAACTGAAATAACAACCATCATGTAACTACCACCACCTCTTTTGCGTTTGTGAGCACACAAAGATGAAGTTTTGACAGAGCTCATATCCGATAGACAACCTGGCAAAAGTAATCACCTGTTGTCCAACAGGTAATCACAGAAAAGCCCGAACTCTGATGTTCCTTCTCTGCACACCTCAGCACCAAACATGCCCTCCAAGACTCCACCGAGGACGCACGCCCCTGTTCTCCAGGCTGCCTGTGAAATCAAGGGTCGTAATGAGTGAGCGCCAAAGACATCTACACGGTAATGTTGGGATGGTAGAGTAAAACAGCAAGGAAACACAAAGATGCTCTCATCCCACTACTGCTGGTCCCAGTTAAAGTGTCATTTCAATTTTTGTTTGTCATGTTACATGGCATGTTAACATCTTTATTTATTTTCTAACTTATGATGATGCTGAATGAGGTGAGAAAATGTTTTTAAAAAACCTTCAAAACTCGTTTTTCATCAACATCACACTTACAGGTCAAATAGGGGAAACTGCACATACTTAAAGTTAACAGCAAATTACCTGCTTTCCCTCAGTTGTATCAAACCCCAGAAGTTGTAATTCACAGTCTGCCTCTAGGGGTCGTCCAAGCTCCCAGAGTTCCCCATTCACCTTACTCACCAGGGCTCCTTTCAATCTGAAACAACACGTGCAAAAGCACAGTTATATCACGACAGTTAAACATATTAAACCAAACGGTATAAACTGGGTACTTACCTCACACTCCGAGCAACATAGAGCGGTGTGGTGACACCAGCTGTTCCCTTAACTATCCGGCCGTCAACCAGCCGGACACGGAGGGGCATTTCTGTCGATTCAAAACGTTTCCCATTTCCACGTTTTTCCCTGAGAGCCTCAAAGATCTGCAGTCGTTCAGATAAGGCAGGAGATGCATTCACCTGTAAAGCAAAAAATAAAGATTTGGTTTGAAATTATTTACAAGAAGCAAAAGGACAAAAGAACTAAAATCTGAAGATGACAGAAAACCAGTCAAATAAGACCTCCAGAAATTAAGTGCACATGCAGTAAAGCTAAGAGAGACAGACAAGCATTTAGGATTTTAGCAACACAATAATATATTCTGAACTTATCTTACTGCCCCAACAGAATGAGTAACATAATGCAAAGATATACACAGGCATAGCCCCTCAATATGTTTACCTAACTACTTAGCTTACACTGCACAGACTCATCACTGATATGCATGGGATGGACTAAATATTTGAAACACCTGTCAGTTTAACGCAGTGAAGGCTTTTCTAAACCAGCTGTAATAACACCTTAAGACAATTCTTCATCTATGAAGGGTATAAAGGACTACTTTATAAGACTATGCAGGTGTTGGGATGACATAATTAATGAACTGGAATGGATTTTAAACTTGTTCAATTAATTAATTAATTAATAAGCCATAATACCTTTAATCACCATGGCCCCAAGGCAAAATTAAATAGAATTAACATTTTAGGAATAGCCTTAAAGAAAATCCAAAAATTTTTACCCATGTATTATTATATCAGTACTTATTTTAGTTGGTTATAACAAAAACAAATGTAGTTAACTGACCGTAAACAAAAACACCTCTATAGACTTTTAGAAAAAACAAAAACTAACTTTTCTTACAAAACTTCCATAAAGTCCTCAGGAAGTCCACAAAGTTCTTTGTTTTGGTACTGAGCTGATTTGTCAACACAAAAAGCATCAGGACACTTTTTTTGAAGTTTATTGTAAATGAGTCTTGTTCGTATTGTAATACTGGTTTGTCTAAATCTTGTGTAAAAAAAAACATGATTAATAATAATAATAATAATAATAATAATAATAATAATAATAATATTAACAAATATTTTTAACAGCAAAAACTAAACAGAAAAATCCAATCTCGACAATAACTGAAAATTCAATATGAAATAAATATTTTTAAGTTGAATTAAAAACAAAGTTATAACTTTGCATTCATCACCATTTCCCATACATTAACAAACCGGGTATGGCTATCCAAAAAAGCCAAAACATGAACCAAAATTACGATAAAACCGAATTAAAAGCACATTAATCTTAGCTACCACACGACAAATGTTTCCATTAGCACATTTAACAGACAGGAGCATCAACAGCAGCTCACAACACTCACTGAAAACACAGTGCTGCTTGCTAACGTTAGCCTCACTCAGTGCACTGCTTTACCGCACCTTGCTGTACTTCCTCTGCGCGTATAGGGTCGCACGAGCTGTCGAACGACAGGTAACAAGCCGAAGCAGCTGCGTCACCGCCATACCAAACACCCCTGCCTAAAACAACCGCTTCATTCACTATTACCACACATTACTGTCCCCTTCACTGCAAGCGGCCATAACACCGGAAAGCACGGGTTACTGACAGCAGCGTTGACGTAAAGACTGAAAAGTTATGACGGAGCTCCGTCTCAGCGTGCGCGCTCCTGACGTCTACGCCAGGGCGCGCAAAATAAACGCAGGGGAAATAGAAAGAGCGCGATGGGGAAAAACATCTCTAGCCTTCAAAAATAAAATTACGCACTGTCCGGTCAGGCACTTCAGACTGGAGTCACATATGCTGAAATTTACACGAAACAGCGCATGCGTCGACAGTTCTCGTTTGTGGAGAACATTGCAAAACGGTGTTTGAGAGCTTGCGTGCAAAACAAAGTAATTTCAGAGAGGCACCGACCTGCTGCATCACGACGGGGCCACAAGCTGAGCAGCAGAATCGGTGCTCTTAGCTTCCCGAGCCTGCTGCAAGTGTGCATCAGTTTAGTGCCCAAAGTACAAGTTTATTTTAAAACACGTAGGGAGGAAAGATGAATACAGTTTGACTTTCAGCAAAAACCACATTCACTGCAGCTCTTATTAAAATAACGGACATATTTTAAACCCTGCCCTCTACAGACTCGCTGTCAAAAGCTCTAAATAATTTTAATTATAAAACTATTCACTGGCCGTTTAATTTTGTGAACAGACTTAAAAAGCTGAGAATATTAGTAAACAAACCAGCTGACTCTGAAAAGGGGAGTCATTATATTTTGGATTTAGAAATTGTGGGTAAAACAACCCAACGGAGAGACGGAGCGGCTTCATCAAGGACGACTTAAAGACTGCAGCAGCCGAAGTACTTCTGCTCTGCCGCTTGGGGGAGCTACAGCTCTGAGAGAAATCTACTGGACTTTACAGTGTAAATACAGTGCATTCAGCTTTAAATTACCTCAGCAATTACTTGGTGAGATCACCTTAATTAGCAGATTAAACCATATTATAGGTAAGGCTTTAAAACTGTGTTTGGTTTAACATCATGTCCATGTTAAAATTAGGTAAAAGCCTTTTGCAATTAAAATGCTCCACACGCAACATGTCCGTTGGCCTCTATAAGGGCAAAAAGTCGATCTAGTATTTTCCCTAACGGTTCAGATTTCTTAATTAGCACTGAAGACCTTGCATTTCAACTGTATGATATTTTAAAAGTGTTAGCAGCAGATTAACAGGAACAGGGGCCCTAATGTGTAGCAGAAAATATCCACAACAAGAATAAATTATCCTGCATCATGTTAAATTAAATAAATGTAAAAAAAAAATTATTTGCTGAACACTGTGCAGCCACTGTTTTGTCTTACTGTGGGCATATTAATTACACACTAGAGGTGAGTCATCACTCAGTCACAATGTCTCAAGTGAGCTCTGCAAATATGGTCCAGAAATAGGTACAGGGTTTTTAAATGAACTTGAGTGTAAAGTGTGGCTTTCCAGCAACAGTGTGTGGTGTAGTGTGCAAGTTTTGTTTTTAAACAGAATGAACCAAAACAACAACAAATACAGAAAATGGCAAATAGAGCAGACTGATTACAGTCTGTAAAGCAAAAAAAAAAAAAGAAGAAGAAAAGTATTTGCCAATATGTGAAGGCTGGTTTAAGTCACTTCATTAAAGCACTGAAAATGTTACCCCTCTAATAGTTTTGATCCTTAAAAATAATATCATAAGATATAGTTCCCCCCTTAAGTATGCATATATTCACTGTGACAAAAATAAAAGCTGCAGAATGTGTGCATGTTCATCACACCAGAAAAGATTGGACACTCAAAGGGCGGTGATATAGCATCATTGATGAGAACAGCAGTGAAAGCAGTTCAACTTATATATATACACACACACAAAAACAGGCTGGTAGTTTTGTCAGTCATTTTCAATTGGTCAAACCAAGTTATCTTAAGGTCACGAGGAAGGGACGAGAAGGTGAACTTGAAGATGTTTTACAATTATTCTGTGTGCAATGTGAACACTGCAAACTGATTATTAGCTGCTCCTACATGTGACTGTGAAGATAACAATTTACAGAGGGTGGTAACAGACGTATAAACATTCAGGAAAACACCAGTGTGCCAACGCTGTAGTGACAAATATGCTTTGTGGTTACATTTGGGTATATTTTTGAAACAATGTATTCAGAGGCTTTATGCAGGAAGGTTTTCAGCATATTGATAAAACTGTAATTTCAGCTTCAACACACACTTGAATCAAACACTAGAGATGTGAGACCACTGCACTTCTGACTTGTAGAGGTAAACTACTACCAATGTATGAGAGAGGTCAGCATTATGGAAACAATTCCTGGACAAGAGGGAGCATTAAGGCCATCGTGCTAATCTTTTTCTTCGTTGTTATTTTACCTCTTAAAAGTGGTGAGAGGTGCACAGGTGTTTTAGGGTGAAGCCCATGTGAGCACAAGGTAAGCACAGACGCTTGAAAGCAAAAGCATGAAATTAGCAATATAGAGAAAAGGGCCAAAACAATTGGAAGTAGTCAAATGAACCATTTTACATGCAATCCTAATTAGCTTAAACACCATCTGTGTGTTCCTACAAATGGAAAAGCACCAAGTCTACCTAGCAAGAAAGCACAGCTGAAAAACAAAGGCTTTAAATGTTAATGTAATGGTAGCTGTGCAAATGCATGAGAACAATCTGAAAGGTAAAGTCAAACAGCGCAATTCAAGTGATGATAGTGACCAAATAAAAATACCTCCCCCTCCCAGTTGAATTGAAACTCTGGATTTTATTCAAGAGTACATATTGAAGCCTAGCAAGGGTGTGGTTCAAAGTCTAATACTCCCTCCCAACCCATCATCCACTACTGAGTATCTTCATGACTCAGTCTAATGTGAAGCGCGCACAGGTAGACATTTATATATAGGAAATAAAAATGCATAATTATCTTCAGCCTCCTCTTCTGTGCGGTGGTTTCGCAAAAGGAGGACATAAACACATGATAGGTACTGGAGAGAAAATCTTCTGGGCTAAAGCTTATCCAAGGCCTCGATCACAGTAAAGACGGGGTGCGTGAACAACGATCACTGTCCTCATGTACAGAGATAATAGCTTTAAAAAAAAGGGGGGGGGGGGGGGGCTATGTCAACTCAGTCTTTATATTTACAAGCTTAGAAATATACAGTGAGAGTGACAGAAGGGTGGAAAAAGGTTGAGCAGAAGAATATTATTTACAGCGGGTAGTTTGGAAATAAGTCTTAATCTCACCTGAAACACAAATCACTTCAAATCTCTCTCTCTCACACACACACACACACACACACACACACACACTCTCTCTCTCATGGAAGAAGAGATTACTGTCATGAATTCAATCCGACATTTTTGTTTTTTTACTTTGACATTTTTGGGAAATGCAGTAATTCTTATTCATCTGTTAAATATGATGCAGACACAGATGAGCTTAGTAGAGTACAAAGACTGGAAGTACGGGCAAAACAGCTTGGACTTCTTGGAAAATTGTGACTTCTTAGAATTGTGCTGTTGCTGTGAAATTTATCTCAGAAGTCACTGCATGCTCATTATCCCCTGTAAAAGGTCCGTTTTGTATGGGTGAAACAAATTAGATGTTTTTTCCTGATCTGTTTACTGTAACTGTTTAGTTTTTATGTTAAGCGTCATCTACAGCATGCTGGAGATGAGTGATATTGAGCTTCATTACAAAACAAAAAAGCCAACAAACGCATTTCCCAAAAAGCCAAACTACTGCCCTGTTTTTCCTCAGTATCATGAGACCCATCTTTCTTTTATCCAGCATCTCTCTTCTCAGATTAAAATAATAATAATAATAATAATAAAAAATATATCACACAGGAAAACTCTGAAGCCCCTTTCAGACACGCTCTCATTTTCAATTATCTCTTGTAACTTGTTCGCTTCATGTCTGAATAAGCATTCTAGTCACTTTTCTATAATTTTACTAAGTGGGATCCAGTACAGTGGTAATATTCACAATCGCGCTATATAACATAGACATCGTATTTTAACTGGATTAACTTAGTTTCCAGCCTATGAGGGAAGGGCAGGAATAGCCATCACTTGCTACAGCACAGACATGGACATAAATATAAAGACCCCTATTTTAGGGAACAATGGCTAAGATAAGTAATCTTCACAAGTCTGTGGATAAGACTTCAATGGATGCACATAATAATCCAGTATGGCAATTCCCATGTAGCTCATGGTTATGTCCCTAAGCCATGAGGAACATCAACATTAAAAAAAAAAGCGACCCATGTCTGAATGACAGAATGCCGTCACTGTAACAGACGAACGAAGCCACCAGCATGTCTGAAAGGGCTGAAATGTAGTTTAATTTTTCTTGAACTATTTTGCTTTTTTCTTCTTACAGGTATGCAATTCCTGCAACAGAGCGAATGAAACTTGTGCATGGAGAATTGTTGTGGGGGGAAAAAGAAAAAAGATTATTGGTTGTTACATAACAATCTGCACTATGAAACTGATAACCTCTTAGCTTTACTGTGCAGTGTTAGATGACTGGCTACCTGGCTGAAGCAAGACAATTTAAATCAGCTATTTACACACAACCTATGGTAGTTTTAATTCAAGCTAATTAACAGAGTAAAGATATCTGGGCTCATACCAGCAGGGCTAACACACACACTGCACTGCTAGATGTGTGGCTTGCACTTCTCATTCAGCTTGTCGCAGATGACCACTTCAGTAGCGTGGGGGTAGGAAAGGCCTCTTCTGTGCATGCAAGGGACCACCTGTGAATGGAGGCCCGGGACGCTTTCCCCCACGAAACCCCCCCATGGGTAGATCTTGATTATGCTGCTGAGGGTTTCGGCCTCGCAGCAGGGATCTCTGTGAGATGGGAACGGAGAGGATTGGAGGCCGAGGAGTAGGCAAGGTGAGGAGGGGAACAGGGTTAGGGTTTTGGTTGCGGGGCTGCCCTGGAGGACTAGCAGAAGGTTTCTGGAGAGGAAGGGCAGCGGACTGGGTAAGTGAGCGCGAAGGAGCAGTGTCAACTGCAGGGGAATTAGGTGTGGAGGGCGAGGTTGCAGATGATGTGGGAGAGGGAGACGGGGATGGAAGA